AGTGTGCTCATGGCTGGCTGCTGAGCAGAGCTCTGTCGGGCCGAGAGAAAATCTTTTAGATAAACAATTAATAAACACCGAGACCGAAAGAAGAACTGAAGCCTCTTCTCGTCCTTCGATACGCGGCTGCCCCAAGGCCACTCCGGGCCTTTCCAGGCCCTCCAAACAGCCCAAAACCGGACATAACTCCACTAATTGGAATATTTAATGACAGGAAAACCCCACAAACAAGCGCAATCCTATCAGCTTCCCTCAGGATCTGTTTAAATCAGCAGGAAATGGGTGCTGTGACTGATGCTCCCAGGGACTGGGCACAACCTGTGGGGGGTTTGCATCATTTGCTTTTTCTTGTTTGTGCCTTTCTTTAACATCTCTTGCTAGATGGAGAGACTGAGAGCTGAAATGAGAATTATTGATCTGTTGAGGTACTCACCTTTTATCTAAAGCCCGTAGCACCTTTGCAAAAACTTCTAGTTCACAAAATTCACTACCCAGCTGGCACAAGCGGCCCTGTTGGTAAAGCTGAAAAAAAAACAGGGAAATTTATCTTAATACGTAAGACTGAGTTCTTCTGGGAAACTCAGCTTACTAGCAGAGATAAGTTATGATGAAATCTAGACTTTAAAGCATTGAAATTCAGCAGGCTAAAAAGTTCCTATGTCAGAACATTTCACCTCAGGAGCAGAATTTAATTATTAAAAGCTGAGCTATCAGAGGTCCATAGAGGGTTTCAAGGGGGTTTTATGATCTGTGGATGTATTTCCAGGTGTTTGTGCCCTGCAACACCAAACTCTGCCACATGAGAGCTACAAATCCAAGACAAATGCAATTGGCACTTTTGATACCAAATGCTCTCAGAACACGTTTAAATGACACACAAGCCAGGATGCAGCAATGCAAATATGTCAGATAAAAATAAACCCAAACCCACAAGTTCTGCAAGAGGCCACTGACCAATGGCAGCACTACCAAAGGCACCAGCCCCTCCCCAGGACACCTGAGCTGCACAGGTGACTCCCCCAGCAGTAAATGGGAAAATGGAGCCTGTTCATGCATTTATTCAAAGCACTGCTCCTTTAATGCCCACAGTGATTTGTGCCTGCAGATAAAGGAATTTATCAGCTGAGCTGCTCACAACAAACCAGAGTGTTGTCTGTGCAGGGCATGGTTAAGTTCTCCCACATCAGGCTATAAATGCCATGGATTTACACAGGTACAGAGGGAGTGTGCAAATAAATGTCAGAAATCCATTGTGAACTATTAACTCCCATTATGTGAAAGGCCCTGCCCCACAGATGAGCACAGGAGGGTACATGACCTGAGGAAGCAGCACTCCCCACCTGCCACAGGCACCAGCAGTGCTTTAATGAAAACATTCATATTCCCCCAGCTTTAATAATGCCTTCAAATGCTTCCAGTGATCAGCATCTGCTGCCTGGTTCACCTTTTTCTCCACAAACACTGGGAGCTGGTGAATTCATATTCCAAACACAGCACGTGAGAACATCTCCAGCCAGAAATTTAGTTTCAGTCAACTCTTATAAAAGCACACAACACTGGCTCTAGAGCACAGCAAATTTGTTATTTTAACACAACCTACAAAAAAAACTTCAAAAATACTTTGACCTAATAATGTCAATTGCCAGAAATGAATGTTTTCCTCTTCGTTATCTATTTTGCTGAGGGAACACAAAAAAAAAAAAAGTCTTTTAAAAACCAGAGCAAGTTTGCATGCAAAGTTACAGCTCAGATAAAGCAGCGAGTCCCTGCACTTCAAAGGGATCAGAGCTCCTGCTGGATTCTCTGGCACTGAAGAACAGCCAGGCTGCTGTATTTAACAGCCACAGCCATGGTTAAATGTTCTCATTCCTTCAGCACAGCTGTCTCATAGCAAATGCTCTATAAAACCTAAAATGTGCATGCTGCAGTAAAAAACCCAAAAAGCAGCTGTTTAAATTGCCTGGCATTCCATGCTCAAAGGGAAGGTGGGCATGCCATCAATAATTGATGAGATGGTTTCTGGAGGAGGCTCAGACACATCCCCAAAGAACTGGAGCAGGATTTAAGGGAACCAAAAACGGTATCAGCTTTCACAGAACTGAGCACAGTATCATCACTCCCTCCCATCACCTTGCAGCACCAACCCAAAATCCCAGAGATTCCTGCTTTATCAAAAATTAACCACAGTAAGACTTTGAAACACTTATATATTTATGAGGTTACATAAACACTTGTAAGGAGAGAATCCCTCTTACAAGAGACTCTGAGATGCCAAGGAGCAAATGGCCTGGTGGGGTGGCAGGGAGGGGGAAGGTCCCACAGGATCTCAGCTTTGGAACATCAATAATTTCGGGCACACGTCAGGTTTGGCTCGGGCCCCAAAGTTCAAGCTGCAATTTTTCACTGCTCCAACTTGAAATACAACATCTCTGGGACTTTCCCTATCCCTGTAACCCCTTCCCTCGACATACTGGCAAACATTTTGAGGAATTAACTCAGCTGGAAGCCTCTTGGAACTGTTGTGGCTGTTACAGCAATATTTTCAAACAAAATTTGACATGGAAATAGTGAGTGTACGTCAAAGTGTGAAGTAATTCCAGGAGATCCACTAACACTCATTGAGAAGCTTGGGAGGACTGAAGAAATGATTCTCTGGTGAAAGCTCCAGAGAGACAGAATTCCTGACCACAGCCTTGCTACATCACATGAAAACAAAACAAAACAGTGATTCAAGAAAAACATGCCCTGACATGAACACTGAGCTTTGGACCTCTACAGGACTACTCTGTTCTGAGGAGAGAAATGTCTTTTAGACACCAGCTTAACCTATTTGGAACCTAGCAGGGATTTATTTTCCTTTAACTATGGAAAAATGACTCAAAGCCTGCAAGGTGACTCCCAGCTCACACAGGAGTTCTGGCACTGAGGTATAAATTCAATATACAGCTGGATTATTACCCTGCCCAATCCAGCTGTTGTGCACAGCTGTGAGAAACTCACCACAGCCCTTCCTAGGAGCCAGGGCTGAATGTTGAATTGCATGTCCAGGTGGGTGTGTGACAAAAGCTGCACACTGTGGTGTCCCCAATTGAACATATTAATGACATTGACTCATAACTTCATTATTACATCACCTTTCTATTAAAGTTCTTGTCTTTCTCCCTCTGGGTAGATTAAGCTAAAAAAGCAAACAAACAACCACACTTTCTCTAAACATTATAAAAATTATTTTTAAATAATTTTTAAAAGCAGATGTGGGTAATTCCAGCCAGCTGTACAAGGATCCTCCAGAAAAGGATGAAGAAGACGCAACTAGAAAAATATGTTCCTGATGCTCCAGTTTGGAAAGGGATTGATAAACAGGGATGCTTCAGTAAGAATTACAGAGGAAATCCAAGAAGCTCGCCAGGATGTTTTGTAATGCCCAATAATGTGATGGAGTATCAGGCCAGACTGGGGAAGGACAGTGTGCTAAACAGACAGCAGAGTTTGGGAAAGCTTTGGGCTGAAACCACATCTTCCCTCCCCACTCCACAAGGAAGGAAAAGGTTTTCCTGAGTCAACAGTTCACTGAATTCAATCTGGTGACAAAGCCTCATTACCAAAACACAATCAGTTCAAAATTTAGGTACATTCCATGCTTTTAAACCAATTTCAAAATCATCTATAAACCCTCTGGACAAGCTTCTACTGGATATGGTTCAAGGCATTAAAAAAAAAAAAGAAAATTCCAGCTCTCCTTGGAAAGCACAATGCCAACTACCAGGCTGATCTGTACAAATCCCAGTCAAATAAATAACCAAGAAAAAAACACCAATGTCACCGAAATAGCATAAATTCAGAGACAGTTTCTAGAGCCCAATGCTTGCACACCCCAAACATCCCCACTGCTCTGCTCCCTGGGCCAGTTTGTGCTCCACAAGGAAGACAAAGTCTGAGCCTCACACACGTGTGATTCTCCTCAGGAACTGGGAAATCCCAGCCTGCCTGGAGCTCAATCAGCCCAGAGGAAATGAAGTGGAAACAGGAATTATTGTTCAGCAGGAGCTCAACACCTCTGTTCGTGATGTGACCTCATTATCTCAATCATGATGAGTTCTGGTGCCTCAGACTCAACAAGGTCACTGGGAAGGTAAGGAAGACACCAGGATGAGGAAATGTGCCCCATAGTTAGAGGTTAAAATAAAAAAGTCTGAGTAGTACAAGTTAGAATGCAAGGAGTTTCAAACCAGTAAAGACACAACAAGGAAGCACAGTTCAGTTCACATCTAAATTTAGATTGCAGAAATAAGGCATGTGTTAATAATAATAACTGGCAAAAACTCATGAGGTAATGATTCTCCTTCAGTGTGAGGCTTTAATTGAAGAGGTGCTGGAAGGATCTGATGGCAGCCTGGCTGCACACCGTGCCCCTGTCAGGGACACTCGTGTGACAAACCATCCCTGCTTCCCACACACACACTGAATTCCTAACCCCA